TCCCCCACCCCAGCGGACTCACCAGCAGGCAGACGCCGTCCTGACCCAGGATTCTGGGCTGGGTGTCCCAGACCTCCCAACTGCCCCCTGGATTTCTCCTCTGATCACACCTGGCTCCTTCCTCACCAGCTGCTGCCCGGGGCCCTTCCTCCACAGCCGCCTCTGTGCAAAATTAGGGACAATCACAGAACAGCCCCTCAGGGTTGTCCTGGTTCGCTCGGCAACCCTACAGCAGTGCTCGGTACGAAGTGCACGGTGACCGGTACCTCCCGTGGTTTGTCAGTCCACATGCCCTGGGATGGGGATTTGTAGCCTCAGGACCCAGGGTGGTCCCGGCCAAGGTCACGCAAGGGAGAGTGGAAGACCCTGACAGGCCGGGTGGGGTCGACCCCCTAAGTGGCACATGCGGGAACCACGGCGCCTGATGTGTGACACCGCAGACCCTGGGCCCCGTCAGGTAGAGGTCCTGGGACGATGCCCCTCGTCCATGCAGATGGAGATAGAGCACAAGCCAATGTCAGTTTTCAGCGAATTCTGGCCTGAGGACTCGAGGGTCTGGCCACAGCAGGGGCACCGCATTCAGGGATCTGACATACCTGGGGCTCCCCAAGCATCCTGCACACGCAGCTGGCCGCCTTGACCCTTCCAGTCACTCAGACCCTCATGTGTGATTCCTTTCCTGGGCCCTTGATCCCTTTTCGGGACACTTTCTCCTAGGTGTCCGTCCGCTGCCCGGCTTCCTCTCTGGTCCGAGGATACATGTGCTACGAAGGCCTTTTTTTATCCCTCTCCTGGGCCCTTCCCCTCCTAAATTGACTGGTGGAGAGATGGGGTCTCTAAGCCCTGCTTGGAATGAGGACCCTCCCTGTCCCCTGTTCTGACACCAGAGCTGTGACCTCTCCCTGCCCACCTCACAACTAAGCCTGATCTTTCCTAGGGCCAGTGGCCAACGTAATCACAGAGAGATGGGGCACCCAGCCTGCACCCCTGGTGAGTATCCCTTCAGCCCAGGCAGCACAGGGAGCCCCTCAACCTGCCCCCAATGTCCACTCCTGCCAGTCACACCCTGGGGCCTCTGACCACGTCCCTGGGGCTTCAGCACAGGGGACCCCAACTGGCCATACTCCCTGACCTATGGAATCTAGGTCACGGCTCAGCACCTCCCAGACCAGCACCAGTGGGTCTCCCTGTGGGAGGTGCTCCTTCCCTGGTTCTCCGAGAGCCGATGACCCGGTCCCTCCTGGGAGGGTGGACCCTGGGTGGTAATTCCTGTTTCTGTCCCCAGGTCATGGTCCAGTCAGCAGCTCCACATCCCCGGTAAGCCCGCCCCCTCCCCACTGGGGTCTAGGTTGTGCGGGCGCAAGGCAGAGAACCAACGAATTCAGCAGCACAGCACACACCCTGCTTCCCCCAGAGTAGCCAGGACAAGGCAGGGCCCGTTCTGCCCAGGAATGGGACTGTCTTCAGGGACAGGACCACTCCCCACCCCGTCCTGAGTCTCTCCTGCCACTCTGAGCTGGCCCAAGGGGAACCCTGGAGTCTGGCCAAGGACAGAGCACTGGGAACATCAGCCAGGGGTCCTGGGCTAATAGGAGTGGGGCAGGGAGTTCAGGAGAGACCGGTCTGGGTCTGGGGTGTGGGTCAACAGGCTTGGCGAAAGCTGCTCAAGAGGCAGAACGGGTCACCCCTGCAGAGAAATGACTCTCCCTCTGTCCACTGACACCCATTCTCTCCCCCTGTTCAGAGCGCCCTACCCAGCCCGAGGACAGCCGTTCCCATCTACCAGGTGAGTGTGGGCAATGAATGTTCAGGTCCCCCAAGCCCAAGGGGGCTGAGGATCTGTCCCCAGCCTGCCCTGCCTGTGCTTTCAGGTTTGGGACACAGCAGGGCAAAAGGGCACAGGGGCTAGCGGGAGGAAGGAGGGGCCTGGGGCAGAAACCTGCCACCCAGCCAGGTTCCCAGAGAGGTGGACGCAGGACCTGAAAGTCACCCAGACATGTTCTGAGAAGCCTGCGGGGTTCAGAGGCCTCTTTTTCTTTTACAGGAGTTACAACACCCTGACAGGAGCATTTACTGCCAGATCGACAACAAAGGACAAGTGTCTTCTTAGTTTCCCCCTCCCCTGGGAGCTACTCCTTCCAGGGGCCTCCCTGAGACCCCAGACCCTGGGTGGGGTCAGGTGCCCCCGCCTGAGCCAGAGAGCCAGCTCTAAGCCCAGAGGATATTCAGGGACATGGACCCAGGGTCCGGGCCTTCCTGATTTCTGGAAGCCCTGACAGGCTGCCACGAACCCCGGATGGGCCAGGACAGAGGCCCCCATGTCCCAGGAAGTGGGGTTTCCCAGGGAAAGTATCCCGGGCCCTGACCCACCAGGGACAGCATGAGGGGATCTGATGAAACAGGACTCTTCCCCCTCCTTGGCCCTTTTTTGGTGAATGGTGATTTCTCTGAGCAGAAATTCACCTGAACCTCTGGGGCCCTTCTCTCCTGGGTCACACAGGGAAATATTCCCTCTGAGTTCACCAAGCCCCCACCTTAGTCCCCTGAGATAGAGGAGGGGCGAGGGGTGTTGACGCACTCAGCGGTCCTCACCCTGCTCAGGGACCAAGGCTGGAGACACCTCCAGTGTCTGCACATGTGCACAGGGTTCTCAGGAGCACAGGACATGGGGCCTCTGATGACCACACGAGGAGGAGCTTGGAAGGAGCAGCCATGGGCAGGCACACATCCCAGGTGGGACCCCTTCATAGCCTTTTGGTGTCCTGAGCCCTTTGGTCCTCCTCACCCATCCCCGGTGGCCCTGACTGGTGGCCTTCACCAATAAACTTGCCCTGTCCCCAGATCCAAGATCCAGGGCACTGAGACCTGTCTGAAGCTTTCTCCAGCCTTCGGGTTGTCCTTCCTGCTGGGGTGACATAAAGCAGGTTGTCAGAGGAACGCCAGGGTTTGGGACCCAGACTTCATGCTCTGAGCATAGCCTTCCCGGACACTGCCCATGACGTCTAGCCCAGTACCTCCCAGCAGTGTCCACTTTTCTCCCTGAACGGGATCTTATCTTGAAACACACCTCCTCCCCATAAATAAGCATGCAGGTCAGAGGCAGAGGGCTTCCCCCACCTAACTGTCACCCAGGCTCCCATGGTGATGGGACAAAGTGTCTCTTCCACCTGGTCCACAGGCCTCATCCTGCTGTCTCACCTGCAGCCTCCTCCACACACCTGGGCCGGCGGCTCTCAGTCCTTCCCTGAGGCCCCCGGTTGGGTGCCCATGTGGATTCGCTCGCATCAAGGTGCCCTGTTCACACAAAAGCGGTCCAAGCACCAAGGCACCGCACCCACGTTTCACAGGTGGGTTTGCCATCACCCACTTGTTTCTTAGTCATGAGATGAGAGGTAAGAAAAACAAGCTGCAAAGTATCACGTCATTTTTAGCTCTGTGATGCTCCTATCGCAATGCACACTATGTTGGATTAGACAGGGTGACGCCTCTTGTTAGTTTCCTCTTGCTGCTCTAGCAAATTATTGTAAGCTTAGTGGTGGATGTCAACACAAATCAAGGTGCCCACCTGGCTGTCTCTTCTGGAGGCTTAGGAGAGAGTCTGTTTCCTTGTTTTTCAAGCTGTGCCGTTGGAGGCTGCCCACGTTCCATGGATGTGGCCCCTTCCTCCACCTTCAAAACCAGCAGTGCAACATCTTGAAGTCTCTCTGTGTCCTGTTTCCACATCACCTCTTCTTCTCTGGTTCTGCCTCTCCTGCCTCCCCCTGTCACTTATATAAGGACCCTTGTGGGTGCCTGGATGGCTCAGTGGGTTAGACTTCCAACTTTGGCTCACGTCGTGATCTCAGAAGGTCGAGCCCTGTGTTGGGCTCTGTGCTGACAGCTCAGAGCCTGGAGCCTGTGATTCTGTGTCTCCCTCTCTCCCTCTCCCTCTCTCTGTGTCAAAAATGAATAAACATTTTTTAAAAATTTAAGAAAAAAAGAAAGAACTCTTGGATTATATTGGCCCACCTGGGTAAACTACCATAATGTCACAATCACATGGTCCTTAACTTAATCTGCTAGTCCCTTTATCATTGAAATAATCACAGATTCTTGACACGAGGGATGTGGGAGTCTCTGAGAGGCCTCTGTTCTGTCTACTGCACCCCCAAGGCCATATTCACCATAATCGTTCATGACAAACTGCTGGTGGGCAGCCTGGACTTGGTCATCTGACCACGGAGTCACTGCCTGGAGGGATGTCCACAACACCATCACTGCCCTGAGCCAGTGATGAAGGCCAGTCCACACTCCCTGCAGCCTTCTCCACCTCTTCCTTGTTAGTAATGCTCCTTGTTAAGAATGCAAAGAGAGTGGACACAACTGGAAGATCACAGCTCCCAAGCCTTGGGAATAGTTCGGTGAGCATCAGCACCTTGGACAGGTGCCCCAGCCACCCTCCTCCCAGGGGTTGAGCAGGGAGGAGGCAAGAAAAAGAGACTCTGGAGAAGCTGCCTATTGCTTTTCTACATAAGAAAGATGTAATGAGGCAGAATGCTATCACGGGGATGAGCTGCTTCTGCTCTAATTTATCAGTCATAAGCGCTTTGCACATGTCTGGATGTTACTGTTGGCACGTTCATTACAATTCCCTGCGTGGCTGTTAGCTGCATCCAGAGGGTGGCCTTGGGGAGCCTGGGAGGCTGCTCCAGCCTCTTGGGGAACCTCCTGCCCCCCGAGATTCAGGCCACTGTCTTGCATACAATAGGGAAGGAATGGGGGCGCCTGGCTGGCTCAGTCAGTACAGAATGAGACCCTTGACCTCAGAGTCGTGAATTGGAGCATTGGGGGTAGAGTTTCCTCAGTAAAAGAAAAAAATGGAAAATAAAAGGAAGGAATGTTTCATGATTAGCTTCTGACCCTTAGTGCCTGACCTTGGAAACACACTCAACACCCGGCCTGGAGCACCCCCTAAGCACAGCATCCTGTTTCCAAGCCCCAGCTGAACCCCACAGGCAGCAGGGCTGAGCAGAGCCCCTGGGCTCTTCTCCAGCTCCCCCTCGCTGAGCCCTGTGCGTGGTGCCAGAGTCCTATGCCATCTGCCTGCCCTTCCCAGCAGAGCAAACATTTCACCCAGGGGACAAGGGGGGACCCGAAGATCTCCCAGGGGAGAGTCCAGCATCTGAGGGTTTCTGCATCTGCCTGTGACCCCTCAGGGGAAGAGATAAGACAAGGGCGCTCACAGTCACCCCCATCTTCCTTTTTCCCCATCCACATCCCACCTGCAGAACCAACTCTGATGCTACAGACCCAGTCTTGCCCTTCCATGGGCTCAGGTGCATTCTGTCCACTCACAGTGTCCAATATAAGGTCAGCTGGGTGCTCTGTCTCTATTATTTCTTTCTTTCTGCTTTTAGTTGGGTTCATTTTTGCTCTTATTTTTCTGGTTCTTCTAGTAGGAACTTACATTATTGATTTGAGATATATCCTTTCTTGTAATGTAAGCATTTTGTGCTAGAAATTCCCCTCTCAGTGTCGCATAAGCTGCATCCCATAGATACCCTCAGATACCTTTTCAGTCCGCATGTTTCCCTTCCACTTCTGGTACCCAGTGGCACCGAGGTTCCATCCTTTTTTTACGGAACAGATCTCGGGACTCTGCTCATTTTTCTGTCTCTTTCCTCTCTCTTTTTCAGGAGGAATAAATTCTATGGATTTGTCCTCCAGTTCATTGATTCTACCTTGTACATCGTCATGTTACTATGAAGTTCACCAGTGAGGATTTGGTTTTGTTTTGTTTAATTTTTTTTGGGTTTTGTTTTTTAAAATATTGGTTACTGTAGTTTTCAGTTTCATCATTTCTATGTTTCTTTTCTATTTTTCTTTTTTTTTATTTTTTTTAACTTTTTAAATTTATTTTTGGGACAGAGAGAGACAGAGCATGAACGGGGGAAGGGGCAGAGAGAGAGGGAGACACAGGATCGGAAACAGGCTCCAGGCTCCGAGCCATCAGCCCTGAGCCTGACGCGGGGCTCGAACTCACAGACCGTCTATTTTTCTTGAAGACAGAGAGAGGGAGTGCATGGGTGTGGGAGTGGAGGAGAGGCAGAGGGAGAGAGAGGGAGAGAGAGGGAGAGAGAGGGAGAATCCAAACAGGCTCTATGCCCAGGGTGGAGCTCGACTTGGGGCCTGATCTCACCACCCTGATATCATGACCTGAGCAGAAATCAAGACTTGGACACTTAACCAATTGAGTCACCCAGGTGCCCCTGTGTGGTTCCTTTTTATAACTTTCTTTTTTTGCTGTGGATTTCTTTTTTCTTTTCTTTTTTTTGGGGGGGCAGCCTTGACGCCAGTGGCACTTGAACTCGTAACCCCTTGATCAAGAGTCATGTGCTCTACTAACTGAGTCAGATAGGCGCCTCTCAATTTTGTTAAAGAATTTATTATCGGTTATTGAAGTGTTCTTTTAATGATATTTACTTGTTAACTCTTCGTTGGATAATTCCACAGTCATTGGGATTGGAGTCAGTAATGATCTTTTCTCAGTCAAATCGTGATTCTCCTGGCTCTTGGTATAATGAGTGATTTTGTTTTATTGTATCCTGCATATTTTGTTATTGGGTTAGTAGATTTGATAATATTTAAATCTTCATGAAAAATTTTTTTTATGTCTTTATTTTATTTTGAGAGACAGAGTGAGTGTGGGGGGAGGGGCAGAGAGAAGGAGACACAGAATCAGAAGCAGGTTCCAGGCTCTGAGCTGTCAGCACACAGCCCTACCCCGGGGCTCAAACTCAGGGCCAGCCCAAGTCCGACACACAAGGAACTGAGACACCAGGCGCCCCCCCCCCCTTTTTCTTATACTTTCAATATGTGGAGCTTCTTATATGTCAACTATAACACAATAAGGTCGCTAAAAATTGTATCTACATACGTGAAATATTACTTAAAGTATACTTTAAAAATACAGAACTCAAGCAGGAGTTTTCTTCCACATTTTCCGCATGGTCCAGCAGAGGGCGGCAGAGAAACCCCCGCAGCCTGGAGCCTTGGGTAGGGTGGGGGCGGAGGGGGGGGGGGCGCTGCTGATGCCCCTTGGCGCGC